AACCACAGGTTAGGAAACTGTTTTCTGGCTGTTTGGGAACAATACTGAAATCATATGGCTCAAAACAGATTCTTTTAGTGTGGGTAGAGGGGCAATACCAAAGTTTAAAATAGACCTCCATTACCACATTCTAAACGTACTCACAACTTAAAAAAGTCCAGAGTGAGCAGACTACCTTGTGAAGAAGACCAGGTTCTCACAATTCTTAAAGGACTCATCTTTGAGAGGAGAGATTTTTTTATTCTTGGTTCCTCTTTTGGGGCCGTAAACTGCAGCTCACGGTGCAGATGTGAATCTCTGATGTCCAAGGGCTGGATCATTAGCATCCTTTCTGGTCTCCTGTGACTGAAACTAATCACAGAGCTGCAGGTCTTCTCAGTCGTTGATCAGTAGATGCCTCTGCTTTCACTTTGATAAAATGTACTTCTTTTCATAAATAAAACAATTTTTAAAATGGGTATGTTCTCTAAAACACAAACATCTTGGCATAAAGGCACATTACAGAGAATCAATGCAATTGCAGAAACTAAAGAAATGTGTTCCAATCACATCAATGCCACTCAGACAAGTGTTCCAATGTTCTAATGATGAAACAGTTGAAATTGTCTTCTTGCTTAGAAAATGGGAACATTCACACATGCTCTATCAACCTCACTGGCTCGTTATGAAATTGATATGAATTAATGCATGATATCACACTCCAAAAACTTTAACACTCATTCACATTAAATTTTTATGAGAGATTTTGCACACAGAATTAATGGAATTGTATGTTCTCGCATGGCTTATTTACATAAAAATTATGCTTTTCTTCTTTCTAATAATTGAATAGGCATCCTAGAGCTGTGGATTTTGTGTTATAATTCTTTTGTAGCTTCCATTTTACTAAAGCAGGAGTAAACGCACAATATCATGTGGGGATTTTGCATATATTTCACATAGGTTTGTTAGCTTTTTCTGTAATTTTATATTTAGCTCTCTTCAATCATACAAATAATATATCCATTATTTGTGTGTTTGGGAGAGGGTGGCAGACGGTTTTGTTAAATTCTATTAATTCATTTGCGTGTCTTTGGTATTTTAGCATAAAAGCAGAGTAAGTGATAATATGTATAGATAAATAAAATAATGAAGTCTCATGTCAATCCAAATATTGTACAAAAATCAGGGAATTATTACAAAATTATATACAGTTGTGAGGACCCCAATAGGAAAATATGAGAGTGTCTTTAGACAAAAATGGAAGATATTACCATATAATAAGATAAAAAAGAATTTCAAAATCCCATGAAACAGTCAATGGAGGAATGGAGTTAGCTACGTAATGGAGCAGGGTTGCAGCCTAAAAGCAGAAAAAAATCCAGTATGGAAAATGTAGTGAAATCAATGGCACATGTTGTAAACCAACTCCTTAATAATTTATGAAGTCACTGTTACAATAACTCTAACAAGGGATCAGTGTCAATGAGAAGAAGACAATCTTATATGCTGGTCAAAAATCTCTTGGCTGATATGCAACTTCAGTCTTCTGAGATGGAATCCCTGACTTTCTTGAGCTGATTTAATTGCTTCATAATAATCGAGTAAGTATTTTTGACCCCAAGGTTAGACTAAACATGGAAATGATGAAGTTAAACTCATTAAACATTACGGTTAAGAGAATCTGGGAAATTAGGTCATCAGATTGATCATATTTGTGAAACCTACTTCAAATAAATAATTCAGAAATTGATGTAGAGCTGGGATTTTGTTGAAAATTGAAGGGAATTTTCTATGTTTGTTTATATTATCAAAGTAGATCTTAGAAATGAATCAAAATTAGGGAAATAAG